ATTATCTATGTTCTCATAACAAAATACTGTTTAATTTTCTCCGAAAAATATATAAACAAAATGAGGTCAAAAGTTGCCCAACTTTTGTAGAATCACCCATATAAGGTATAAAATTAATTTTTTTTATAGAATTTTTGCAAAATAGATAAAATAGCATAAAGAACTCATGTCGAACTCATTGTCGCACTCGTCCGTCATTGACATTAGTTCCTTAATATACTATTATGGTGCACATAGTATACCAACTGGGTAAACTTTATACCACGCGTCCATTAATTACGTGAGGCAATTTTGGCGATTTTTCGACCCCCCCCTCCCCTTGGTGAGATGTCGTGAGATTTTTCTCGACCCCCTCCCTCTCCCTTAATCTCACGTGAGATTTTTTTAAATAATAAATAAATAATCTTTATTTAGCAAAGCTATTACAGAAAACAATTCGATATTTTAATATGTTCCATAAGTAAATGTAAATGTATAGTTTTAATAAGTAAGTTTAAATAAGTTGATCCGTGCTTGATTCCGTTAGATTTATTAAAAAAAAAAACAATTTGCTTATAATTTTTTACTTAATTTAACCCTCGTTTTCTCGCTATTTTACACTGTTTCTTTGGAAAAAAAATTACGTGATATTTGCCGAGACCACCCTCCCCCACGTGAGATTGGGTGAGGTTTGGCTCGACCCCCTCCACCCCCTAAACACCTCACGTAATTAATGGATGACCCCTTACATTCTGCATGATGCAAAGCAACAAAATACTGAATTAGGCACATCCACATAAATGAGAAAACTTAATCCATTCAGGGTGTACCGAATTTTTCCACGACATAAAACACATTTAATTTAAATCCCAAAGTGGAGTAAGTTGGTATTCCATTACAAGAATGAATTTGAGCTTTTCTCGGCTACTGAAAGGTCCTTGAATAATTCATGCAGTCAAATTGATTTTTAAAATGCCCCTCGACGTGCTTTCCTCTCCAAATAACGAGCTCGGTTACTGATATGAAAACTACCCAAAAGACTTCAGTTTCAATTCTGCCAATTTTTATATATCATGTTCACCCCTTTGAACAAAAAACAAATTGGCCTCTCATAGGGCTTATATTTTAGACGTGGAACATTTGACATTTGCTAAGGGCATTAATTCCGACAACCCGCTGTATAAATATTTTATGTGAAATGATTAAAAATAGCTCGGTATTACACGAACCCCTGAAATGTTTACATAAACTTACAATAAAAATTGTCACGCAATTTATTTATAATTTTTGAATGAACCTGTGAAAATCGATCCAAATCAAAAATTTATATTTTCGGCATAATTTATGTTAATTAAGTACTAAAGTTTTTACTAATTTTTTCCCAACTCAATTTTATATATACAAGGTGTCCCTAAACTTAGTGGCATAAATTTAGGAGCAGATTAAGCAAGTCAAAATAAGACGAAAATCTAAATAAATATTTTTCCTAATTACGTATGTCTAAAAGATACAGGGTGATAAAGTGTTACTTATCATATCAGTTTTTTTAATATAACTTCTACTATGGTAGATTACAATGGTGATATTTTGTGAACAGTTACTTACTACCAAAACACATATTCACACATAATTACAATTGTTCGAGTAAACCCAGTGTCGTAGAAACAGGGGTTGTTTAAGCTTATTGTCCCATGCAAACTTTGAGGTTTAGAGAGTAAAAGTTATATTAAAAAAACTGATATGATAAGTAACACTTTATCACCCTGTATCTTGGAAACGTAAGTAATTAGGAAAAATATTTATTTAGATTTTCGTCTTATTTTGACTTGCTCAATCTTTTCCTAAATTTATGCCAATAAGTTTAGGGACACCTTGTATATATAATAATATAAAAAGTAGTTAAATATAGGTGACTACGGCCTAGGAGAGACAAAGTATTCCTAGCGGATAATAATCTTCGCTTTGAAAAGAATTTATATAAAAGAAATTAAAATTGTATGTGAACACGTGAATGTAAATGATCAGTAACTTGCAAATTGAAAGAAGAAAAAGTTTCGTGATTATTGCTTATCTTTTTCAAACCAAATGGATGCTATTTTCAAAGACAGGAAAATTAACTACTAGATTTTTCATAAAAAGGTTGAACCTAACAGCAAATAATTTTTATTTTTTGTTTTTTTATTTCCCCCTTGTGTTTTAAAATTTCAAAAATTTTTGATCTGCTTAGCTGAAAATATAATATTTTTTAAACCAAAAACGTTACTTTTTTACTCCAAAAATCCATAAAGCGATGAACTTTTTCTGCCATTGAGGCATTTGGCATAACTTCATCGAAATGAGGTTTTGCCCTTAAGTTTTTTTACTTTAGAATCTGATATTATTTTTGGCATAGGTATATCTTTTTATATCGATATTATATAATAATTAACAAGTGAATTATCAATAATAAATATTACTGCCAATTTGACAGTGTCAGAGTATTTAATTAAGGTCATCAGCCAAAGTTCCATTTTTTAAATACTAAAATGCTATTAACTTAATAAAAAAAGTCCGAATAAAAAAATGTATGTTGTACTAAAGTATTACTATCAAATTACAAATTGTCGTTAAAAGTAAATACTTTTCAAATTGCCTAATTCTCAGTATTCTGGCTTGTCCCACAACCTGTAAAATTTATATATTTTTTTCTCTTTAATTTGTATTTCAAAATGGTATATATTTATATATTAAAACTTTTATTGCTATAAATTATTTATATTATATTTTACTTTTATCTAAAATATGTTTAAAAAATTATTATATAAATTTCTATTAAATAGATATTGGATGTTTTGGAAGTTACATTTTTTTAAGTCGTAACTAATACTTTTATATACCACTTTAAACCTTAAATGTTTAATAAGAATTATTTACGGTTTTAATATAGTAAAAATAAGTAAAATTTAGTTACAATCTCTTAAAATAAAATAACCTATAAGTAATTTTCTTTCGTAAAAATTACGTTAAATAAACATGATTTAAATACTTTACAGTTGTAAAACTTCTGTTTTGTCAAACTATGTTGTTCGTAATAATGTACACATACTGTTAATTAATATTTTATATCTACTCCCACATTGACAAGCTGTGACTTTATGGCATTTTATTCACGGGCTGAAGTTAGCTTTATTATTAATTGGAAAAATGTTTAACAAATAAAATTGGCTTATAGTATGCAACTCGTTTTATAAACTCCTCTAGACACTCGTTTTTATTAAACACTCGCTCGTAAGCTTCGCTCGTGACAAATAAAACTCGTAACTAAAATGGCGTTTATAAAACTTGATACATAATATACTATTATCTACTCCCACATTGACGAGCTGTGACTTTATGGCACTTTAGTCACGGGCTGAAAACAACAGTGGCTTTTGGACATTTTGGTCACGGGCTGAAGTTAGCTTTATTATAAATTGCGAAAAAGTGAGTTTAAATTTAAATTCTTATCTCTGTTTGTCGTAGATAAAGTATAGTATGCATTGCATATGCATACTATGCAACTCCTGTTAACTTCTATAGACACTCGTTTTTATTAAACACTCGCTCGCAAGCAACTTGATACATAGTGTACTATTAAAGAAGCCCTTAAATTACCGTTCTAAAAATAATATTCGATAAATAAATACTAAATTGGATTTCTAGAAACGGTTTGTTAATTTCTGTTGTCAACAAATAAATTGTTAATAATAATTTATTTGTTGACCGATCAAAATTTCTGCATCGGTATTTTTTTTATTAAACGTCGCAGTAATAGTATTCTTAGAAATATTTTGCATCAATTAATCCACTAATTCAATGCAAATATTTCGATTTTTTTCGGGTCAATTTCCATACAATGACATTTCATTATTATTGGTATATGTAATGTATCGATTTTTGTTTGAAAACTACCGAAACAGTTCCTGCATAAAGTCCATAAATATGATTGTATCAGGAAATTTATTGATATACACAAATTTTGGGCACATCGACACTAAAGCTTAGTTCGCCAAATTTGCCAAAAATCAATAAAATGGGTGATTTTTATTTAAAATTTAAATAGGGGCAGGTACATACCGTACATACCGGTACGACCGTATTTCAGGAATTTCGTGTGAGTTAAAGGTGTAAATGACTTCAATAACAATTACGATTGTAAATAGTAGTGTTGTAAAAATATTATATTCGCATTAATCCGCATTTTTTTAACCTGCTAGCTGAATGAAATTCGAGAAAGTGCTGACCGAAAAAAAATCACACCACTTTTTTCGAAAATTCGGATGACGAAATGCTCTCAAGTTCGCTTCCCAATTAACCAACGTCTGGAATTTAAATTCTATCAATTTTTTTTTATTTGGGCCGACAAAGGAGCCAATTTAACGTGAGTTCGAGGAAAAATATCCGCAGAATTTAATTAATTGTCTGCATTGAGTTGCATAACGTGAACAAATCGGATTTCGGTGAAAAATTGCAACAATTTGGAACAAAAGTTTTGCGATAGGTATAATAAATTTGATTAAAGTTTGGAGTTTTTGAAATGTTACGAAATTTGGGTTACATATATGAAACTTGCATATATGTAACCTATATTTCGTAACATTTAGATATTTATGAAAAAATTCAGTTTTATTTGATTTTTTTGAATGACCATAGTATACAGTTATTTAAATTGTTTTAAATTAATTATATATTTATATATAAATGGAATAACTGTATACTATAGTGATTCAAAAATTCAAAAAAAACTGATTTTTTTTATAGAAAGAATTCTGGATATATCTTAAGGATCTAATAAGAAACCATTGCAGCTATTTGTATGAAAATAAGAGGTATGTTTTTGACACATTGAAAATTGGCCAGGATAACGTATCCCTATTGGATAGGTTATGTTACGGACAGGCTGCAGATGTCATTTGGGAATTACAGGTTAACTGTAGTGAACAAGATTTGACACAGTTGCTGGTAAATTGATTTTTGAATACGTAGGATAAAAGGGTACTCACCAAATGCTAGCCAGTAGATTAGGATGGTCCATGGACCAACAAGGATGGTTCCTCGGCCCATCGCCTTCGAAAAAATGTCAACCCGAAGGGGATCCCCTTGACATTCGGCTCATTTTTCCGGAAAATTTTCAAACTTCGCGTAGCACCGAACGAAAATCAGCGATTGATTGTAACACTTCGAAAGTCATTCGCATCATAGGACTAGCGGCTCTCTGGAGGACCAAATCGGGTGGTAGTGGAGGACTTGTAGTAGTATGTAGTGGTTGTAGCGAGTGTTGCCGTTTTGATGCCGCGTCGCCGGTCTTGACTAGACTGTCGAATGTTTCGAGCTCGCGCGCTCGTCCGTAACGTTGCGATGTCTGTTGAACGGCGCCGGCGCTACAGCGTCGCGACGCCCGTCACTATGTCGGCGGACAGCGCCGCCGCCTCACGGCCGCCCCAACCATCATTTTTTTAAATGGAAAATCTAGTTATTTTACCAACTTGCTACACTCTTTTAAAAATCAAATTTGTTAACATGACTTTGTAGTTTGTTAATTTTATTTGTACAATTTTAACATAATTTTTTTGTACAAAACCACACAGTAAAAAAATATTTGTTAATTCTAACCAAATGTTAACTAGATTTTATGTTAAGTTTACAACCAACTGGAACCTGTTAACTAATTAAATAAGTAGTTATATAACAAACATTTTGTAGATTTAATAACAAAATCCTATGTCAATATTTTAACCATAATTCTTGAAATTTTGTATTTTTACAAACCTTTTTGTAGACCCAGTAACAAAAGTATTTTTTGTAACTCTCGGAAGTTAAATGAAAAGAATTTTGATAAGAAATGTTGCTTTTTTAGTTTACTAAACAAAAAAAATTAACACATACCCAGCGTTGCCAGTGCCAGTTCATTTGTACTGAAATCAGTACTTGTTAAGGTCTTTCAGTACGACAGTGCTAGTGTCAGTACATTTTGCAAAATTTCCTTCCCAATCAAAAAAAGTTAAAACTTAAACATATGACAAAGAAAAAAATCCAAAATATACATATATTAAAAAAACTACTTTTTATTTTGAATTCTTAAATCATAAACTAAAAAATGTCATGATGAGTACGAGTACTAACATTAAATAGATACAAGAAAAATAACCAAAATTTGTTTCTTTTAACAGTACCTTTTAAGTCAAATCAGTACGTTTTTCATTTTAAGTCAGTACAGAATTTTTTCATGGTCTGGCAACGCTGCACATACCTACATAAATGAACTCAAAAAATGCATACAAACAATTAAATAACATAATTCTAAAATCATCAAATTATAAAGATATTTGGTACAACATAATTTATCAGTACACTTACTGATGTAACTATTTCGTCTCCGCTTTTCTTTAATTTCGTTCGTGTTCCTCACCAGCATCGATAAACAGCTGTTTCCCTTTATTGGAATATCAGTACCGAGATGCTGTATGGTGCGGAACACAAACGAAATTATGATTTCTCGTCCTTATAAAGGTTTTGAAATCATTCACTGCGGTGAGACGAAAGTAAGTGGTGCCATCTACCGTCTTAAACATATAACATAAAGAACATGTCAAAAGACGGTAGATGGCACCACTTACTTTCGTCTCACCGCAGTGAATGATTCCAAAACCTATATAAGGACGAGGAATCATAATTTCGTTTGTGTTCCGAATCATACAGTTAGTTAAACTTGTTAATGCGTATTCTAAATGGGAAATGTTTTGATTGTCTGCCTGAAATCACGTGATTTTTAAAGAAATAATTTGTTAAGCATTAAACAAATAATCTGTAACGTTTAAAATTAACAAAATGCTTACAAAATACATATTACCTTTACAAAACTTTCGGTAAAATATTTTAGTTTGTTAAATAATTACAACCCTTGTTTTCTACAAAAAATTATGTTCAAATTTTACAAAATAAAATTAACAAACTACAAACAAATTTTTATAAAAGTGCAGGGTTTGTAATTATTTTAACAAAGGAAAATATTTTACCGAAAGTTTTTTAAAGGTAATATGCAATTTTGTAAGCATTTTGATAATTTTAAAGGTTACAGATTATTTTGTTAATGTTTAACAAAATATTTCGTTGAAAAAGTTCACAAAACATCTCAAAACATTTCCCACTGACAATACGCATCAACAAGTTCAACTGACTTCAGCGTATGCAACTTATGTTTCTGCTTACTTTATTCTACTTCGTAAAGTGTTCGTAACAAATTAATTCTTTATAATTTGATGATTCATAATGCTGTGAGAAATTCATTGAGGAGGCAAAATAGTATATTATGTATCAAATTTGATAAACGCCATTTTATACACGAATTTAATTTAGGAACGACCGAGCTTGCGAGCGAGTGCTTAAGTTAATGAGTGTATAGAAAAGTTTATAAATGAGGTGCATACTATACTTTTTCTATGACAAATACTTATTATTATCTTAAAATGATTTAAATAAAAAATTTGTATAGAGCGCCATCTATGAAACAACAGGGGAAACTGTCAAATGTCACATTTTTACATTTTATAAACACAATTATAAAGGTTATAAATCGAAATGTATCTTTAAAATTGACAGTTTTTCACAGTGAAAGTAAAGCAAATGTTTTATGAGGACTTTACAGTAGAGTCCGTGCCCGAATTTAAGTTATAGTTTACTGCCGGCGAAATTAAAAGGTCAGTACAATGTTCATATAAACTTTTTAAATATTGGCGTTGAGAAACTATTTAATATTTTTGTATTGAGATAATAAAATAATTTTCACATTTAGTATTATTTTACAAGAAAGGCACTTTATTTTAACGATTGTATGACATTTGACAATTGTCAACTAACTTAAAACTAACTTCAGGACGTGACCAAAAACCTGTTGCTAACTTCAGCCCGTGACTAAAGCGCCGTAAAGCAAAAACTTGTCAATGTGTATTTAAAAGGTCACTTAGTGTCTTGGAAACATGTACGATAAAGGGCGTTTTAAAGGTGGGAGTAGAAAAAAGTAGTTTTTGAGATTAAGTCGTTTTTACATATTTTCTATTATAAAAAGAAACATTTTTTAAATTTTATAGAGCAGTTGGTAAAACCATGATTCTTTCTTTTGCTCCCCTAATAAAAAAAACAATTTGAGATCCCTTATAAGATTTCACTTAATTATATCTTCAAAAAATATCAATGTAGGTAGGTACAATATGCTCTCACATATACTAAAACTTGGAGCATGCTTCACTACCCAGGCGTCTTCACACACACACACACAGCAAAGCGTGTGCTATAGCTGAGTAACATCTGACTGCAGCAGGCCACCTGTTTAGGATAGGAAGTCGCTCGAGTGAACAGCACAGAAGATATCGCTTTCCTTCCGCGTTTTCTGCTGCTAGTTTGCGTAATTGATAACGGCTTGGTGTGGCACGTGGCGATGGGCAACATTTTCATCGACCCCTCTTTTTTTGAGGTACGACACACGAGTCATCCCCATAAGGTCTTAGGTTACACCGCACATGACGACTGGCACGAAAAATTTCTTTCACAAGTTTCAAGGGCGTTTTCAGAATTCAGTGTACCTATTTCGATTTTTTTTAAATGGTTGAATGTAGGTTGAAATGGTAGGTTTTCGTTTCTTGAGCACCTTATAAAAAAGGAAATTTCTTACATTACACACAGAGAAAAATCCGTTTGAAAAACATTGCACAAAGTTGTGCAACATGCCATTGGAGAATAATTTTCTATAAATTTACTCAAGAAACAAAAACCTACCATTTCAACCTACATTCAAACATTTATGTGCTTCAAGATAGTTGGATTGGTTTTTCTAATTAGTTTATTTAAGTCAATTTTCTATAATTTGTTTGAAACAATAAGATTTTATATTTAAGCATTTGCACAATATTGTCAAGAAAAAAGTTGTAAAAATATTTCAAAAATAAATGTTACAATTTTTAAAATAATTCGTATAAATAGAGCTTTGAGCTAGAATATAAATTTTACAATATTGGACATCTTGTTCGGGAGTGAAGCATCACATCACCCAGTGTTGCCATCTTGGAGAATTTTTCACCATTTCTGGTGATTTTTTGTTCTGTACCTACACGCCGTTAGCAAAGTTAGGCCAGCTACTTTTGGGACATCCTGTATAGCTTTAAAAATATTTTTTTTTTGTTATTTCCATGTTAAAAGAAAATGTTTATTATATAAAAAGGGATTAAAGCCTCATATTACAAAGTTGTTTTTTTTTATTTTTTTGTTAACTTTTTATATAAACTGTTTTATATATTTTGCATTTTGTGTCCATACAAACCTCTTTGTTTTTGCCAATTAAAAGTATTGGGGATTTTTTTTGGCAAAATTGGAATTAGAATTTTATTTTTTAGTTTGTAGTTTATGTTTTGTTATGTTTCCATATTTATTAGGTTTAGGAATTCTATTTTCCATATTTTTTGTATAAGTCGCTGAATACATAGGTATCTATGTAAATTAATCATTTAGTTTCATTTTCCTTTTTCTCGCATCCCAAAAATATTTAAATATATTGGAGAAATTATTATTATTCTCTAATTTATAATAAAGCTAACTTTAGCCCGTGATTAAAATGCCCAAAAGCCACTATTACTAACTTCAGCCCGTGACTATAGTCGCCATAAAGTCACAGCTCGTCAATGTAGGAGTAGATAAAATATGATTAAATGTCAAATAAATTATAAGTTTTTAATATAATAAGTTTACTACAATTATTTGCTACAATTTAGCACAAATTGTTCCTTTCCCCTCTTTAGCACCAATTTGTTGAACAAATTCATTGAATATGTTATATAAAAAACACGCATTGACGGCCAAAAAAATTTATTAATTAAATATTTAATTTTAACCAAATTATTAACCAGATTTTATGTTATTCCAGGTCCACATAACTTTATGTTAAGTTTACAACTAACTTTAATCTGTTAACTAATTGAATAAGTTTGTAATTATAACCAATATTTTGTAGATTTAATAACAAAACCCTTTATCAATAATTCAACCATAATACTTGTAATTTAAAAAAAAATTTCAAACGTTTTTGAAGACCCAGTAGCAAAAGTATTTGTTGAAAATTGGGAATTTAAATGAAAAGAATTTTGTTAAGAAATGTTGCTTTCATCACTTTTGAGGGATTCAGCAGCCAATTTAAATTTAACGTAAATGTAAAGAATAATATTACGGATTTAATACATGTTGTGTCATTATGTATCAACTTGTTTTTTTTTTAACAAAAAGGGTTCCCCGGTACACCACCTGTGCACTAACCAATCAGATCGCTTCTACGAGCAACTTGCGTTTCCTGTTTT